ATGATAACAGCAATGGATGATGGTGACTTAAGTATTACTTAATGCTGAATAGAATTAGGATAGTAGAAAATAGGCAAGAAATTATGTGATAGTAAGTAGCGGGCCAGCAAAATCAACTGACCCTAATTCCATAAACCAAAATAAGAAAAAAGAAAGAAGTAAAATTTGACAGAAATTTAGCTAATCACATTACCTAGCATCAAATCCTCACAACCGATTTGTAGAAGCGAATCCAACAAAGATAGGGAGACAACGCCCAACTGCATTTAAAAAAGGTTTTGAAGATGGAAACATTTCAAAAAATCCAAGTAAACCTTGTCTCCATTGGCTATTCGTCGTACAATCACATCAACAAGTGCTTGACGATCTTCATCCACTTCAAGCAACAGCATTCTGATTATTGTTCGAAGCAATGGTGCTTCTGTGACGGTTTCTACACATAATTGTAGATACACCGTGGCTGCTGCTACTCCCTCCTGTTCTTCCTAAGGAAAGCTCGGGCCATATAGAAGAGGAATGGGCTAAATTATTGAGACCAAACTCACTTGTAACAGCGCTGGTTTTACAACGGATATGAGAAAACCAGAGTAGAAGAAATTGCAGATCTGTTCAACCACGGATGGGTGTGCAGCCTGATTAAGTGGAAGATTACACAGAGTTACAAAAAAAATTACAATAAAATAGTCAAAAAGTCCCATAGTTTTACAATAAAATCATACTTAGATCGATGCAAAGGTTATACTAAAGAAAAGTCTCAAAAATTTTGAAGATTAACTCATGATAAATTTACCTGAACCACAGCGTTACAGAAAAGGAGCGATGAGTGAAAATTAGCAAGCGATTCAGCTGCATGTTCGGGTACAATTCTTTCCGCTCCATCACCGGTTAGGATACGACCCAGTTGAGAGAAACACCCAGAAAGGCCTGTGGCCACAACAGGGCAAAAGGCACTCTGCATTTCACATTAACGTTGGAGTAGTGAGACATTGCAAAAAAAGGCTACCTTGTAGGCAACAAACTCTGCAATATGTTCATGTTTTGCAGAGACGGAAAGAATGAGCAGTAGAGCATCGCGAGCAAGTTGTCCCACGTCATTCTGAGCTCAGAAACATAACAGAATTATGTTGAAGGACAAGACAACACCCCGATGATTTACAACTTACCTGTTCATATAAGAATGGAATAAGCAGTGAAAAAACAATAAACTGATCTGCTCCATCAGTACAAGAGAAAAAGAAGTGTAGAAGAGTACGATCTTCAGCTAGTTTTGTGCAGATCTGTAAATATAAAAGAATTCGTATAAATCCAAGAAGATTAGAACTTTTTGAGTTGAGTTTTTGCGTTTACATGACGGAACCACGATAAGCAAGAGGACAAAGTTTGCTGAAAGACTGAACGTTGCCCTTAGCAATTGGAATGCACCATCAAAAACTTTCAGAGAAAAGGCATAGTCAA